GTAGTGTTCCATGATTCATTGTTTGTGCATAACACCCAGTGCTCCATGCAGAACGTGCCCTCCTCAATACCCATCACCAAGCTAACCCATCCTCCCACCCCTAAATAAAATCTTAAAATAAATAAATAAATAAATAAAGCAGCCCAGTTTGGATGATAAATTATATGGTCACTCTACCTGTTTGTCAGACTAAGCCAGGGTTTCTCAAACGTGGCAGCTGTTGACTTGGGGCTGGAGAGTCCTCTCTTGGGGGTGGGGGGCTTGTCCTGTGCATCATAGGATGTTCAGCAGCAACGTGGCCTCAACCCGCCAGATGCCAGAAGCTCCCTCCCTCTCCATGGTGACAACCAGAAACGTCCCCAGACATTGCTACCAAATGTTCCCCGGAGGGCAGACCACCCCCACTGGAGAACCACTGGACGAGGCCCTGCAGATTAGTTTTATTGAGTGTCGACTCCCGTGGATCAATAGTGCCTCGGGCCCTGGCTTGCCAAGGAGCCAAGACTCAATGCCAAGGAATGTTGGGATAGACGAGTGCTGTCTGCCGTGGGCACGGGATGGGGCATGGCAGCGTTTGGCACCCTGGAGTAGTCTGTGGGGCCAGGAGGTAGAAAGTGCCAGAACACCATGAGGCCCAGTATGTGATTCTGGCACTGGAGGAACAGGCAGCCCGGTGGAGGGACGAGACGTGTTTGTACCCCGACACCTGGGGCCGCAGCTATGTAACGAGACAAGCTGCTGCCCACACCTGCTACCAGCCGGGCCGCAGCAGGTGTCACGCATCTTGGGAGTTGGGGAGGAGGCGTGGTCGGGAAGGTACTGCTGAGGTCGGATCCTGTGGAAAGGCCGGCGGGTATGTGTCAATAAGTGGTTCTGGGGCAGCCTGGACGTGCCCGGCAGTTTTGCTTGTTTTCCTCCTCGACCTTGGGTTTAATTAAAGTTGTGGCGACTTGGTTGGTTCACCCTCCCACTCCCAACCCTGGCTTTTCCGTTTGGTTAGTTCCTCGTCCTGGCCATTAATGGGTCTCCCTGCCTCAGGGATTCTGTAAAGGCAGGCGCGGAGGAGGGGCTTGAACTCCCTGTGGCTGTCCCTCGTGGGGCGTGGGGGCAGGAGAAGCGAGTGGTCTGTAGAAGGTGTGACCGGGTTGGGGAATGGCGCGCCTGGCTTCCTCTGGGACCTGGCCTTCTGGGGTTCCCCTGCGTGGGGGGTAAGGGTGTGTGCGTGTTCTTGGAGAACCGACCCGTTGAAGGATTGACTTGAGCACAGTCCTCTCCCCAGCAAAAGGAGGAGAAAAGCTCTTC